TTATTTAAGACGTTATCCTAAATGGCCTGATGCCAGAAAATTGTTTTCTCAAAATAATACAACCAAATACCTAACTGAGTTAGATTTGAAACTAGCTATCTAACCTCCAGAAAGCACATATGGGCTTTATCTGTACCACCAAGGTGCTGAGAAAATGGCGAGTAAGGCTGTTTACTGCTTCAAAGAACACCCGGTCAATAACTCTTCGAATTCCTTGTAATCTCTTGATGCTCGCTTGTCTATTCTAACGTCAGAAGATCTCTCAGTTGTGTTGTAGCGCGTGATACCATGATCCATCCGTTCGGCTGAAATTTCAAAATTACCATCTAAGTACCTTTCTGTCTGGCTTAACCTATCCACTTGTGCATTGAAATCACTCGCTGAGACAACCGCATCTTAGCATTTGGCCCACAGTAGCAGGTTAGATAGTTTCCACTCAAACTTATGCTTTACGTCATGCAACCTGAAGTCAGTGAGTGGTTAACAGAGATTACAAAGAGACAACGGCGAGTTGTACTGCTCTTTTTAGTCCTCACTATGCCATCCAGTAGAACAGCGCACAGGCGACTGTCAACTGGGATCCAGTCGATCAGCACACCTGCCTTAAGACTCAAAGCTATACCTACACCTGCGAGACCGTAATATCTAGCCGTTGAATTTCCAGGAAATTTCTGGGTTTATTTTGAAGATTCACCCAATTAACCAGATGAGGTCAAGGGAATAACTACAGTTAGATCCTTTGTTTTTGAGAGACAAACACAACACACTTTCATAGAATGAGATGCTAGAGTTTTGTGTAGAGAAGCTTGTTGTCCCACCAGACAGAGTGTAGAATTTGAAAAATCAGGTACGTAGTTTGGAGTACGATTTCATCGGACCGAGAATACTCCTTTTCGGGCTCGAATTGTTATCAAACGCTTCATACCTGAGAGAAGCTTAAGGTTGATTATGTTTTATGATAGAGACCTCCAGAGAAGGCATAGAAAACAAGGATGGTGATGGCTGGTAACGATTTGAAGGGAACCGAGTACTGACAGAGTTGTGAGGGTAACTGATATAACCCGATTGGGCACACCATGGAGAGTTACTTCTTCTCGAGACGCGTGTAGGCAAAAGCGGATTAGTAAGTGATGTCTTATTGACTTGGTTGTATGTAAGTTGATATCATAGGACATCTGCTTGATACAAACCATTCACATGCTTCTTATGACTTAAGGATTTGGATTTGATTGTGTTTCACACGTTTTAGAATAACCCATTACACCGACTTCGGAATACCAAAGAGCAGGAGGTTGTGCGCCATTTCTATAGACTATCTTTTCTAATCGCTCCTTCCGATAACGAAAAGTATGGTCGGCAGAGAAAGCTGACCATCCACCGTAAACAGCCTGCTGCTGTTACACGACATCCAGTCAGCAGTTTAACTTAGCACCCGAATCCCGTCATAGCATGAGGTATTTATGCTATGACTAACTGCATTTTTTTCTCTTACCATTATTCAACAGACCTTTCTTTTATGGTGGGTACAAATAGCTAGTTGGTTTGCTGCTCTATCCGCAAGTTGTGGTGTAATTGGTCGGAACTTGTACTACATTAGTAACCAGAAAATCGCGTTTTCGATTCCCGTCACGATCCAGACTTTCATTTTCAAAAACCATAGTCACACCCTTAAATAAGTTCTATCAAGAGGTTCCTTGACAGTAGCTTATGCTGGTCAATATCTCTCAATTATAATAACAGTTTTCATTGAACAAAGAGAGACTAACTTGCTAATTTGGTAATGTTGACTGTTATGGACCATCGTAGTGATGTTTTTCATATTTCTGTTTCACAGAACATCATCGAAGATAGTTCTTGCCAATGATGGTACTGAAGTTATGTGTACCTTCTGTCACGTGAGTACAGCCATTTTATACCCTAATGAAACTTGTTCACTGTTTTCAATTTTAGTAATACATTTTATTTTGTGATAAATTATAGCCAACTGTTCTTCACGCCTGTTAGGTAGTAGTAGATGCAGACAAACAGATAGAATCAAAGTAGAACCTCCCATGCAAGTGAGGCACCTTGGGCTACCACACTTCACATTAGTATGTAAAAAACAGGCGGATATAAGAATACTCGTATCAAAGTAGATAAAGTTGTGTGAGAGAATAAACAATTTGAAAATAAAGGTTAGTGCAAATATTCAAGCTGTAGAAGACGTCAAAGAGTGAATACATCTGCTCCATTGTCACCAGTTTCTAGCCATGTCACCAAGAGTTCTCCAACACTCATTCTCATCGTCTCGAGGACTTCAGTCAGGTAGTCTACATCTCCTCACACGGCTCAGAACAGCAGTCAGCGACTTCATTGACTGGTCCCATGTCTTAATCTGGTCATCCTGAACCTAATCCAGCTTCCCTTAGCATCTCTTACATCAAAGTAAGCGGTGGCTGTGCATGCGCATCACATGTCCAGGCCAGCTCAGTCGATCAAGGTTCACAAACTCACCAATCGACCTTCCAATCTTGCTTACTACCGTGCACCTGACCTCGAATTGACTGACACGGTGATTTCACTAAAAGTGAACAACGCCATGAAGACATCTGTGATCGAAACCCAGTAATCGCTAGATGTCTCCTAGTTTTAACGACTGTCTTACAGAGTAGCATGGACTGCAGTCCAGTATGCTCGTCCTTTGATAGGTAGTCGGATTACCACGCTAATCGGCGCCACAGATGACACAAGTTGGTAAATGCCAAGCGGGCCTTCTGTATCTGAGATGAGACTTCATCATCAACCACCCCGTTCGAGTTGATGCAACTCCCAAGTAGGTGAAGTGGCTGACACATTCCACCACTTCATTGCCCATCATTAAACTGGGAGTACTTTCAGCAGCAGACCAGCCTCACAGCATCACCTTACATTTGTCAGGTGCGAAACGCATGCAAAACATATTCAGATTTCTGGTCAACGCGTTCACAAGACCCTGTCTGCATTTCGCTATCGTCCTCGGCTGGCAGGAAAATATCGTCTGCATGCTTCAAGTCCACCAGATGACCTTCAAGGAGTAGATCAACCCCTACGAAGTCAGACATACTTCGGGTTATTTCCATAAATACGTCTGCAGCGAAGTTAAATTAGAACGGTGAAAGTGCACATCTCTGACGGACACCACTAGTAGTCAACTCACCCGACAATACTCCATTAGACCTTACATGGTTGCATGAATTAGAGTAGATAGCTTTGGTTAGCGTTATATACTTGCTCGGTACTCCCCTCACAATCAGACACTGCACAACACCTGATGGTTGACAGAGTCAAATTCCGCGTTCAGGTCAAAAAATATGGCAAGTGTAGATCACTGGTTAGCGGCTATGCGAATCTGTCGAAGGGTAAAAATATGATCAATGCACCCTCGTCCAAGTGTGAAACCTGCTTCTTTCTCTCGAGTTTGCTGTTCTGGAGCTTCAGTTAGGCATCGGATAACTAAAGACCCTAGGATCGCAGACAATATTAGTCAAGCTAATTCCTCTATGATTGTTAAAGGAAGGCTTATGTCTTTTCTTATAGACTGGGATGATCAGTGAAGTACTCCAGTCTGACAGAACTACGTACGATCCCATACACTGCCTAGTACCTCCATCACTCTAATCATCAAGTTATTACCTCCACCCTTAAAAACTTTCGGTGGGAAACTGTCACATTCTGCTACTTTGCATCATTTCAGATTCGACACAGCTTTCTCAACTTCAAGAAAATTTGGAGAACTGACATCTACATCCCATTCAAGTTCAGACTGGATGTTGAGTAACTGAAGCATTGCTGGGAGCTAACTGAACTCTGCTTCAGAGTGTTTTGCCCTACGTTCTAGTCGCCTGTCCTGTGAGATTATCAGCGTCCAACCCCTTTCGGTGGGAGTTTCACTTACCATTGTTTCTCTCTTGCCGGTATCCTTCATAAACCGAAATAGTTGCTGAGTGTTACCCACAGTTGATGCCTTCTGCATCTCTCTATCCCCCTTTCTCCACCCACCGCTGCTCTAAATCGACGCAAAGAATCTTAGTCAACTTACACTTGAGTTGCTGTCACTCTCCATTGTGGTCAGAGCCAGTCATCTCGAATAAGTCTCGTGAAACAGAATCGCTTCATATACCTAAAGTTAGTGCTGTCTAGAAACAGGTTATTGTCAGAACAAAATTGTGACAGACGATCACTATTGTCAGTTTGTTGCCATTGGACTCCATAAATACCACCAACACACCTTTTCGATTGATTCAGCCTCCCTACTTGAGTGTTAAAGTCCTCTGTCATTATGACTACATGTGAACGTTTTGGTTTCTGTAGCAAGGTTGACAGCTTTTCATAGAATTCGTAGTTTGCATTATGGGAACTGTAGTCAGTCAGTGGGTGGTTTGGCGGAGATTACGAATTGGCACTTGTCGGTCTCACGACCCTTCTTATTCCTTACAGACCGATTCAGTCGAACACCACATAGACAGTTGGATTCAGTTGAGAAGGGCACTTTCTGCTTTACAGCTGAATGCTATGTCTACACGAGCTAGTCCACGAGAGCTAGCCACTGGGTTTCCGGATACTCGTAAGGTGTATTTTGAAGACTCACAGCACTGGTGAAGTAAAGTGAAGTGAGGTGAGGTGAATTTAGTTACCACATACCTGTTGTGTAGGCTGTAGGTTGTGTGTCTCAGATACACAGCATACATGCATGGTTCGAGATCCCAGAGTTTTAGCGGGCGATGCTTGGTGCTCGATTATTCATACAGTTCGGACATTGAAATCTCGTACATGAAATCGATGACGGAGTCTTAGGAGACTAGGAATGAGGTTTCGATGACTTTGATTGTTGGTAATGACTGCAGAATGAGTTATGGAAGGGGTTTGCTATTGGTATGTGAAAGAGTAGGAGGAGAAAGAGTTGAGGAGAATAGGTTATGTTTGATTGGGTCTTATATGCCACTGGAAGCGTTCTGTGGGGGTGGTTGACACTTCCCAACTGCCCACACCGTGGAGGGCTAGTTGTTCTTAAGGTACTTGAAAGAGTAAGGGATTTGTGTGATCGCAAAGCCCATGAGACATCTGCTTCAGGTCTGTCACACACGGGCTTTTGTGGGATGTATTCTTTTTTAGGTTTGGGTGTTTTGGCACCGGATAGTCCAAACTTATACCTTTCCTTCCGGTAGTCCATAGGTCTGACGAGATATTCGACTACCTATTGTTGTTAAAGGACGAGGTATACTGTGCTGCCATGATTCTATCCTGATAAGGAGCTGTGGCGATTGAGAGATATGACGAGATTCGAGGTTTGTGACCATAAGGATTTTCGTAGCGTCAGTCACATGTGGTGGGATCACCATTTGAGGTATGTTGAGGTGGATCGAAGGGTACTTGGCAAGATAGGCAAGTCGATTGACGAGGTAGGTTGTGAACGTTGATCGGGTGAGGTGGGTTGGATATGTGTTGTGCGTACCGATCCACCACCCACCTTTAGTGGGGACGCTAAGGGAAGGTGGATTAGGTTGGAAGATGGTTCAGGTTGGCCAGACGAAGATATGGAACCAGTCGATGAAGTCGTTGACTGTTGGTATGAGGTGTTTGGGGAGATTTAGACTACCTGACTGAGGTCTTAATGATTATAGGAATCAATGTTTGAGAACTCTTAGCGACATGGCTAGAAATTGGTGACAATAGTACATACGTATTCACTCTTTAACATCTGTTGCTTGAATGTTCTCAGTAACCATTATCTGTAAATTGTTTATTTCTCTGACTTAACTTCGTCTACTCTTTTACTGTGCATCTGTTGTTTGTATACTACTGTAGAGTGTTACAGCTTGAGCTCACGTTGATTTTCTCTGTCAGTTTCTGGCATGATATGCCTTTGTAGTAACATGCCTTCCATCTGCTTATTTTGTCTGGGGTTTTTTTTAATGCATGCCTAGCCACCCTGCATGTTTAGGATCTATCGGCGTCAGTCAAACGAAATATAAAGTACTGAAAGGGAGAAAGGAAGAATGAGAAAATGGTGAGATACGGTATGGCATCGTTGAGATGAGGACAATGTGTGTATACATATACGCCACTGACATCGGTTCTCAACCATATCACACAGAGTCATGCTCCAACCACTAGTTTCTCTTGTCCCACAGACCCTAACCGGCTAGTCTGGATCGCCCCACATGGCTCAAACAAGCAGTCCAGAGACTTCAAACATTGATACCGTGTTTTAGTCTGGCCACCTCAGGCCTCTTTCCAGCCTGAACCTACTTCAGCCAACATTGTGTGACGGGGCGATTGGCGACTAGGCATACGTAGTACGTGTCCCAACCATCTCAGTCGATGAAGTACATAACCTCGTCAACCGACTTACTTCTTCTCCCTAAAACTCTACTTCTGACTTCTGCGTTACTCATGTGGTGACACCACGGAATACGGCTTATACTACGAAGGCAGTGGTGGTCAAACGCCCGAAGTCTTCTCATCTCTTCCACCTTCAATGACCATGTTTCATAGCTAAGCAGTGGGACAGACCGGACTGCTGTGCAGTACGCATTACGTTTCATTGTTATTAGTGAATAGGTATGAGGTCTGAGAACGACTCATCACAATGAAATCCATCTTTTTATTTTGTAAGAGTTATATTTTATGTTTCTTTTATTCTTTTTTAGTATCCCATGTGCGACACAACCTCTTCTGATATTGATCCAGATAGGTTAGCCACAGAGTCGATGAAACATTCTGCGTCATTATCCAATCCCACCGGTTGTAGCAAAGAAATCATTTCTGAAGGTGTAAATAAGGCGTCATTGTGTTACTCTTGTTCATTAATGTTTGAAGAGCTTTCTCACTGCACATAAAATGACTGCCGTTTCACACGTATTTTGTTATTCACCTCAGCTGAGTATTATGCAAATCAACTGGAGTGATTGTATATCTTGTGATATGGCTCTTTTGTTATGCCATTTCCATTTGGTTGTATTTTAACCTCATTGATACATCCTGTACAAAATTCAAGTAGATAATGTGATACTTCATGGTTTCGTTACATCACTTTTTTAGCCAGTGCATATGAACCTTTTATTGCAACGAATCAACAGTTAATCAACTCATTGTATGATCTTTGTTGCTTTTTTTCACTGAAATATTCTTTGACGAATGGTATACAGATGCTCCCACACGTGCCATACAATGTATCGGAATGTCTGAATTACTGGGTCTATCTCATTTCATTTCCTTCTCTAGTTGTTAGTTTTCTGTTGGCAATTCTCACACATGTGAGTGCGATCATGAATGTGATCACATATCATTCCAAGCTCAAATTCAGTAATCCCATTTATGCTACTGTGATTGAATAACAAACACATAGGTATCCTAAGACTCAGACAGAATTTTGATAATGTGGAGTATCGGCCTTTAGCCGTAAGTTCTTTGTCCTCTGTCTCAGCCTTACTTTCTCACTTATCTCTTTTAAGTAAGCTCCTTTAGGTCGTAAGTACAGGTGTACTGTATGGTCCGGTTAAAATGTTATGGTAATGCATGCATTCCGGTTTACAGTGATAAGACTATTGTGTTTAGTAGGTGATTGGAAGATTCTTGTTAGATGTTTGAAACAAGAATTATCTGAGGTAACATGTTTTCAGTAAGCAATAACTATGATCAATGAATGAAACTTAGGTAAATACTGTAGCAAGATGCGATAAGCTTTGTGCAACATTTAAATCGTATCTCCTTACTCAGATGTTTACGAGATGAGTCTGTTTACACGACGTTAGACCATCTTTTGATCCCCACTGACAGGCAGATATCAACTTGCGAACCAACTCGCCGTCTTTTCATTCAGCTCTAGGATTTTGAAGTGAAGAAACTCGCCTCAGCATGCATAATGGGGGTTCTAATCTGAAGTACAGAGACCGTCCGGTGTACTTAATCTGTAATTTCAAGATGTTTTCTTACGACGATATGCTCTTTGATATGTCATGGGCGACAGGATAATGAGTTTCACGATGCATGCGAGGTACGAAGAAAGCTGTAGGGTATATTCTTGCTGTCTCCCCAGAGTGGCATGCTATTAGGAACGAGTTGGCTGCGGTGCTTGCCTATATCTCTGTTATGGGTTGCGTGTCATTGATGAGATCCATTCTGGTCCCTGCACCGGCGGTCGCTATCGAAAGCTGAAATCGATGAAGCTTGTATCATCCACCCTGACTGAGGAGTGGATCTTCGAAAGCAGTCATCGTTTGATCACTGAACCTGGTCAACCACGCAGACAAGGTTTGAAATGCCTTGGTGCCGCCGTTTAACCGCGGTAAGAGTGAGGGTTGGCATTAGTTGAGTGTGAGGCACGACCTGCCTTAGCCGAGCACACAATACCATCCCTGCTAAGGAGTTAAAGGTAGATACCTGAGACTAAGGTTTTTCCCGTAACAGGAATGCATGACCCGTTGTCTACACCGTTTTCGTGCATATTCATTTATAATTGGGGCTGGCTTGCTAGTCGGTGGCGTTCAGCTGGACTGGAAACAGGAAAGGCTTGTGAAACCTCGGTAACGATTGGAGGTGGACGGTATTAGTGACAATAGAAACTGTTATAATGTAATATCACACCAATGATGACGAAATCAATATGTTCTACAAGTATGTTTCAGTGGAAGAAAGCGAGATGGCGAAGGGGAATAAGGAGCAGAGGGTCAGTGATGTCTATCTGATTCCTAAATATGAGTTCAGTCTATATAAGGCTGGGACAGGTGTAGGGCTGACATGATTAGAATTGAAATTGGACTGATATGAAAAAACCTCTTCTCGGTTCCTTGACTCAACCAGTAACAAATAAGCACAAGCCAAAAGCAGAGAAAATTGAACGGATGTATTTTGCCCATCCATTGTAGAACATTGCAAAAATGTATGTATATTTATGGGCATTTACTCAGTAACTCAGCGAACGGGTCGCTGAGAGCGCGAGCTTGCTGAGTTTAATTGGAAATTTGGCATAGGTTCGAAAATTTCTTAAGTGGTGTGACAATAATTGATTTTTCGGTCATTTTTAGGTAGTAATATCTGCTGACAGTGATATAATTTAGCACTTAAAGGTCACTATCAAGTGAAGATTTTCATACGACGAACTGCGACATACACATCTAAGTATTATGCGAATCTGTCGCCTATAAAGCTAGCTGTATAAGCCTTGTTGCATAACACTGATCAAAGTTTAGCCGCCAAGTTTTTGTAATGTGACTATTAAGGTAAGTGATGCGATATATTATTTTGGTGTTAGATGTTAGGTCTCTGACTTCAGCACTGAGTGACACTGTCTTCGATCTCCTAGGGAACGCTAGTTTCCTTCTGGTTGCGGATACACTTTACCGATGAGTGCCAGCAAGCTCGAAACCTGATTTGAGCTCCATTTCCTGCCGACTGACTGCCTACATTAAAACAAGTCAATGTTTAAAAATTCCATTACCGAGAAGGATGAATAAGAAGTCAGTAAGATGACTGTTACGACAAGAAATTTAAAATTTGTTTGATAAGCGAAAGAACAAAAATAGAATCAACATAAAACGGATCCATTTCATTTCGTTGATATCGTGTCAATTGCTTACGAACCAGAATATCAGAAAATATTGTTTACAAAGGTAGAGCTTGATAGGACATTGAGGAAGAAACGTCAGAGACGAAACCAACATCAAACCTCACACATATGTGCATCGGCTCGAGTTGCTACAATTCACAGTAGTACACAAAAGACTCATATCAAAGTAAAGTTGTGTGAGAGAACAAATAATTTCCAGATAATGGTTACTGCGATCACTCAAGCTATAGGAGACGTCAGAGTGAATACATCTCCATTGTCACCCATTTCCCAGCCATGTTACCAGGAGTTCTCAAACACTAATTCCTATCATTTTAAGACAGCCAGGTAGACTACATATCCCCAAGCACCTCACAGCAACTTCATTGATTGGTCCCGTGTCTTGGTCTGGCCAACCTGAACCATCTTCCAACCTAATCCAGCTTCTCTTAGCATCCCACCTCAAGGTAGTAGGTGGGTTGGGATGCGTAACACATGTTCAACCCACCTCACCCCATCAAGGTTCACAACCTACCTCGTCAATCGACTTGCCTATCTTGCCTAGTACCCTTCGAACGACTTCAACATAGCTCACATGGGAATTTCGCCTCATGCGAGTTATGCTACGAAGACACTTGTAATCGCCTCATATCTTCTCTTCTTAACGGCTATATCTCATAGCTCTGCATCAGGACAGAACAGACTGCCGCGCAGGTTGCCCGTCTTTGATAGGTTATAGGAAATCTCCCCATTGTCGCCACAGATGACGCATGTTGGCAAACGCCAAACAAACCTTCAGTACCCGAGATGAGATTTTGTCAGCAAGCAGCGTGTGCTAGCTGATGCCAACCCCGAAGTAAGTGAAGTGGTCAACACATTCCAACACTTCACTCTCTATCATTAAACTGGTTGCAGACCAGCCCTGAACCATCATCTTTCATTTGAAAGATGCTAAACACATGCCACACATACTCAGATTTCCGCGGGAAATATAGTTGACTCACCTTTGTCCAGGTAGGAATCCTACCTGCTTTTCTCGAGTTTATTGTCCTCCGGCTCCAGTTATTATTATTATTGTTTGTCCCTAGTGGAACATAGGGATTCAGTAGCACATCTCCATTCTACACTGTTCTCTGCAATCTTTTGAACCTGGCTCCACGACTGCCCGAAAGCTTTCATTTCTTCCCCAAACCACCTCCTCCATGTCACCCTCGATTCGGACGCCCAAATTGTCGTTCCCTATCTGGGTTCCACCCGAGGGACCGGTCAAGCGCGTGATGTCCCTAAATGATTTTATCAGAGTGTGCCCAATCCAATCCATCTCCATTTCCTTCTGCATATTTGTTGGGTAATGAGTTCTCGGTTGATTCGTTGCCGGATAGAATTCCTTCTTGCTTATTCTGTATGGCGATCTGAGGTTCAGTAACGAGCGTAGGCAGTTGTTGATGAATATTTGTAGTTCCTTAGAAATGCCTTTCGTAATGCGCCAACTTTCTGAACCATATAGAAGCACTGACGTTAGTGTTGAAAATCCGGATCTTGTTTTTTAGTCTGATTGCAGTAAATCTCCGCGCTGATTTCAGGTAAATGAAGGTCTGTCTTGCTTTTCCGGTCCTGGCTTTGGCGTCCTCATCTGTGCCGCCTGTAGTTGGAACAATGCTGCCTAGACAGGTGGAAGAGACAACTTTTTTTAGGTTTCTCCCGTTGATGTTGATTGGTGCTTGTTGTTGATGTTTTTGATCGAGTCTCTTCATCACCTCTGTCTTCTCTACTTTCACTTGAAGTCTCATCATCGCTACCCTGCCTCTTCTGTTAACTTGTTGGATTTTGCCTGTGGATCTTCAAGTTTGTGTGACATTAGACACAAGTTATCGGTGAAATCCAAATCTAGGGTCTTTTCCGCGGTCCAGCCAGTGTATCCCACTCTTCTCGCTCCTCACAGTTGGCTGTTGCATGATCCAGTCCAGTCGACCACATGGGTGATAGATGGTGACAGCCTTGTCTTACTCCTGTCTTCATTTCAAAGGCGTCACTGAGCTTTCCATTGTGAATCACTTGACATGTGGAGTCTTCATGTAGTTTATGAATGAGGTTGACAAAGGTTTGTGGTACTTCGTAGTGTTGAAGCAGTTTCCAAATTACTCCTCGGTCGACGCTGTCGAAAGCCTTTTCAAAATCGATGAAGTTGAGGTAGAGTTGAGTTGACTGGCATTCTGTACTCTGTTCTGTGATGATGCGTAGCGTAGCTTTGTAATTTGATGCGCACATGATTTGTTCTTCCTGAATCCAGCC